GAGGCGGCCCAGCTAGCGATAAAATCGCGATGTGTCTTCGAACCGCGAGCCAAATTTTTATATAAGACGAAAGACTTCTTCGAAAGTCTAAAATATTACTTGAGAATATAAACAACAAATCTCTGTCGGCGGTGCGGTCCGGAAGGAAATCTTGTCGAGTCAATTTGACAGTTCTATTGTCTTTTGAAGAAAAAACAGATGACGCTCGCGCGTGCGCATAATCGGGACACTGTCCCTTTAAGAAAGCAGAAATGGTTCTATCAAAGCAAGGTCCACTCCAGCCTCGTCTCCATCCATAACTGTAAAATGGTCTATTGAATTCGACTGAGCAACAATGGATCTCTAATTGTTTGTGTTCTGTTTTTTTGTCTCTTCAGGGTCTGTTGGTTATCAATATTCGACAAATACCTTCTTATACTCACTGAAAAACTACGGAGGTTATGGATATTTTAAAAAGGACATAACCCAAGACTATCATGCGGCCACGTACAGCTACTACAGCTATTTTCCAACTTTTGGGCACCATGATATCTACATTGCAGACAATGCAGGCAATGCACAATACTAATTCTTACATTCCTATTTGTCAGGCGTACCGCGGTTCCTATTGTGACAATTCTCTCTGGGTTGGAACACGATACGGAAGTGGTTTTTCTCCAGATGAGTTAGAGGTTTATTACGAAGTCCTTGCTTGAAACCGGGCGGCAACATAACAACAGAAAAGCCAAAAAAAGAACAACAACAACGATAACAACAGCCACAAGAAAAACATTAACAAGCCAACAAAAAAAAAGGAACAGCAAAAAATGAATAAATAAATAAATCAGCTCTCCGTCTTTGACTATACTTTGCTCAATCAAAAAGAAAGCTAACTTTTTTCATGATAATTTTAATGTTACTCAACTCGTGACAAAAAATGATTAGCAACGTTTATAACTTGTGCAAATTCGTTATATTTGGAGCTTTCGCATTATCAGTATTAAAAGAAATAGCAGAAGTTTCAGCAACAAAATGAGGTGGTAAAGCACCAACAGCGGTTAGCCATAGCACTACTATTTTTGTCCTTATGATGGACCAGAAGGGCTTTTTTTGTTGGTAGTGTAGTTCCATGGTAGGAATTTGCTATAAGTAAGTGTTTTCTCTTGTTAGGACTTACCCCCGTAGGTATTCTTAGGAATCTCGAAGGCCACTTGTATAGCAGTAGCGAGTAGAGCCTCTTTATTGTTCTGGCGTTCCTTTATTTTACGACTCTCCTTAAAGACCGATTTAACTGCTCTGGGGTTTAACAAATAACGGTAGGTTAANTGTTAGGACTTACCCCCGTAGGTATTCTTAGGAATCTCGAAGGCCACTTGTATAGCAGTAGCGAGTAGAGCCTCTTTATTGTTCTGGCGTTCCTTTATTTTACGACTCTCCTTAAAGACCGATTTAACTGCTCTGGGGTTTAACAAATAACGGTAGGTTAACTGAATTTGTCAGTAATTTTTGTAGCTCTACAGAAAATTCAAATCTGACCAATTCGTGTAGGTATTGCATTGTTTTCTATTGTATGCGGTTTGATGTCACCCTCGTCCTTCACAAATGAATAATAGGGTGTCTGGGAAGGATGTTTGCCCCAGCCCCATCTTCAACTTCCCTTAGCAATTTTTTGTGCGAATTCAAACTATTAAAATATTCGATAAATTCATGGAAACAATAGTGATCGTCCTCAGATCCCAACGCGTCTGAAGCGATTTTGTTTTGAACTGATCAAACGGAGATACATTATTCGCGTCAATGGAAACCCTTCCGAAACAATTAAACTCAGAAGCACAGGCAGATAGTTCATTTTTTCTTTATTAAAATAGTATCAGTAACCTATAAAATAAAGCTCATAGATAGAAATAGA